CCAATTAAGCTTCCAATCAACCCATTAATGCTCCACAAACCAATCAATCAAAGCCCAATTACGTTCCCCCATCCAAGCTGGAATTAACCTCAGCTCTCCCAACATCTACCGCGCCTCTTCCCCTCCCATACTCAGGGAATTTCAGCAAAGAAGAGCAGCTGTTCAGCACCCGTGGCTCTCCCATCTTACTTTCTAGAAGTCCCCTGCTTTCACAGTAGTTTTCCACGGCTTTACTAAGCCTTATAGGTTGTTGTCCAGAGTTTTTCCAAGTGCCAGACTGCTATCCAGGATCTTCTCAAGACCACCTATCTGATGTCTTCAAATTTCAGCAGGAATACTCGCTGCCTGCTTACTAGACGGTTTTCCTGTAATGCCCTCAAAATGATAAAAATAATGTAACCATTAACTTCCTATGAATATTAACTTAGTTTATTATAAGTTTATATAGATGTAAATTAAGTTAATAGATTAATCAATTTAGTTAATTAACAATTAACTTGATAGTTGATAATACTTAGCATGCCATTTATTTTATATATATATATATATTCTACTATAGCTATTACACTAATTTGAGCATGCAAGAGATTGATTTTTGACATGCTGCAATCTGATGGCTAAGGGTCATTTTGGTAGATTAAGTGGAAAGAACACAGATATAATATAGGTTTTAGTTCACTTCTCATTCCCAATTTTTTTTACCACATATAAGTTTATCTGGAGTTTGCTAAGCTATTGTAAGCGGGTGCTAGAGGATTCGTGAAGGCTCAGTTGAGAGGATAAATTCTAGGTAAAATAATATATAGTTACTAAAATGAACTTTTGCTGAAATCTATGGTTAAAAAGGATGGAATTCAATAATGTTTGCTAAAATCAGTTGGTGGTAGCATTGTTAAGCATTTCTTATTTGTTTATTATAATTTCTTATAAATTGCTTGTGTATTTCATTGACCCAAGCTCATTAGCAGTGGTTGTACGGCAGGAAAAGGGAAGGAGCCCTTGGGACAATAAAAAAAAGGTGATTGTTCTTTTGGTGTAAATATGTTTTGGATGTGCAAAGAGATCTAAAAAGATACCTGAATGCTAGATGTACAGACTTTTGGGTATGTGAATGAATTTTAAAAGTTTTAATAGAGCTTTATATTTACTTCAATTATATTTGATGTTCATTAAGGGACATTATATGCTTCTAATTATTAATTATGGAATTAGATATGTTGGCAAGTTAGGAGAGTCGAAATAGATTTCTTTTACTCACTCCATTCTGAAAGTTGTAGCTCGAAATGGGTGTTAGTATGAAGGAATCGGTTTAGATTTTTCTTCCATGTTATACTCCAGATTGACTATTAAGGGGTATGTCAAATTGGGGTGTGACATTTCCCTTGCTGGCAAAAAAATTCCAGCCAAGATCCTTGTTATCTAGTCCTCCAGAAAGGCGTCAATTGCTGACTACAAGCTCCGGTACATCAAATCTTACTGTTCGTTCTACATCATTCACATTATACGAGTGCTGAGAAAAAGGGTAGAATAATTTACTTCTAAAAATTGTCTTGCTTAGACAGTGATGCTAATCAATAGTCCAATAGAGTATTCCACTAACAAAAGAATATCATATACAAAGGTACAAATAATCTCCAAACTCAAGAAGCCAAGAATAAATTTACCAACCAAAGTGTAAGAGAATAGAGTTGAAAGATAAAAATATATCCCCAAAAAAGGGTTGTTTTATCATATATGTTAGTTGTCAAAAAATGAGCTCCACAAAGGAGTCAGATAATAATTGAAGTCAAAAACAAGAGCAGGACGCAACCAATTAATGAGAAATAACGAAATGGCGCTCCAGTAACAACCAAGATGAAGCACAAGACTATATCGAACACAATGGCTATGTCACAAGCGATGAAGCTCAAGAAAGATGGTGCGAATAGCAACGATCTGTGAGCAATGACAACAAGCACAGCTGAGCCAAAAAAGAAGCCATAAGAAACAACTAGCAAAAGCTGCCGGCAGGAAAAGACCAAATGTAGTTGCCATGTAAAAAAGGACAGTTCAAGAAGGCGGAAGCAACAATGAGCTATGGGCAACAGCAAACAAGTGCAACTGGCGCAAGGTTGATCTTTTCTTCTCTAAAAAGAAGAATATCCATTCTCCACCTAATTAAAATTCTATGGTATGACCTCTAAATGTAAGGACAAGATCATCCATCATATTTAACATTATTAAAACTAGTACCACACATAATTTTAAAATTGATTGATCTCTGAATTTTTTATTTAGCCTTCCGAATAATTTGGAATTGAAAACATAAATCACTCGAGATATTTATTGAATATTCACAAGTATTGATTGGAGAAAATGCATTCAAATTGAGTTTTCTATAAAGGATTCTCTATGCCATTAGGACATCTTTTTTTTTACATGCTTGATGAATGACAAAATAATTTAAAAAAAAAACAAATGCAATCCATATATATTTTATTATATTATAGATAAATACTACCAGTGTAGTTTTATGTTTAAAAACCAAATTATGGTATAAACCTTAAAAAATAATCATTATCCAAATCTTAATCATTCAGTGCTATAGTTCAAGTTTACCTAAGTCAACCATCCATTTTTAGCAATTCCTAGCTATGAATTATGTTAAATTTCCTAAATTAAAACACTAGAAGCTGGTTATCAATTCGAAATTTTGACACACCCATACATATACAATCTTTGTTGCATTCATATTATTCATTGGTAAACTTCACTGTGCAAATTGAAAGCACAAATAGCATATGATTTCATATTTTCCTTCTCATAAATCCAACTACAAGAATCTAAGATGCAACATCAACCTCTTTCCTTCTTTCTTCTACAAAAATACTTGATTTTCTTAAATTCTAATTTAGGGGTTCATGAATTTCTCTCCTTACTTAATTGGACAAGGAGAAAAATATGTTAATAGAAAGCATACCCAACTTTGATCAACAAAAGAGGAAGAAATCAACCATCAATGTGCTAGTGAAATATATCATTCATCAATCATTAATCTAAAAGTCCATACAATCAACCATATTTATAAAGGGGAAAAATGTTGAACTTAATTATTTTTTCAATCCATGGCACATGCATGGAAAAATATCAACCTACAATGACGTATGCCTACAAAATAAAGTTCAGTTTATTCTTTCTATTGGCATCCACAAATATTTCTGAGGGTCGATGTCATGTAACATCTAAGTAATTTCTCAAAGATTCACAGGACATCAGGGTGACAACATAGTTTGCCACTAGTGAGCAACATTTTCTATTAGCATGTACATGTTTTTTTTTTTTTTGGGAGGAGGAGGTAAAATTCAGTAGTCTTAATATATATTACTAGAAAGAGAGGAGAAAAGATTGATGAGATGACGAGAGAGAGAGAGAGGTTGTTAAGTAGGCTCTATAGTTCACTAAAGTGAAAACACTGATTCTCCGTTATAATGAATTTTGACATGGATCCTCTACATTAAAATCTAGATCATTGGTCATGGTGCTAGATAAGTACAATTATGTAAATCTTATGATGCTTTGGCAAAGCATAAAAGCATACTAAACCAACATGTGTAAGAAATGGCTCTATTTATAAACAACTTCTAAGAAATAAGTTGACTTTGTTCCAAAAACAATTTAAGCATCCGAGACACTCATTATCAATCACCTTGAGCAACTTAATCAGCAATCAAGTGATTAAGAAAGTACATAAATATATATTTTGGCGGCTCGAGCCTATTATAGAATACAACAGCAACAATATCAAGCCTTTATCCCACAACTTGGATCGACTACATGAATCGTTTTTGTCCATTTGTCCTATTAAGATTCAAATTATTATTTAAATATAATAAAAAAATCTTATTTCTAATATTTGTCAGCTAAGACTTTTTAGGTCTACCTCTATCATTCTTAACATAAGCAGGATCTAATATATCTACTCTCCTAATGGAGTCATCATAAGGCCAATGTTTTTATGTGACCAAACCATCTAAGGGATTCTCTATAATCGTATCCAGCACTAGAGCTACTCTAACCTTCTCATTTATATACTCATTTCGCATTTTGTCTCTAAGTGCAAAGCCACTCATTTACCTGAGCATTCTCATCTCTACAACAATAACAACAAGCCTTTATCCCACGACGTGGGCTCGACTACATAAATCTGTTTTCTCCACTATGTCCTATTAAGAGTCAAATTATCATATACATCTAATATTAAAATGTCATTTTTAAAACTAACTAACGAAGTCTTTTTTAGGTCTACCCCAAACTTTCTTAACATATGTCAAATCTAACATATCTACTCTCCTAACTAGATCATCGGAAGGTCGATGTTTTATATGAAAAAACCATCTAAGGCAACCCTTTGTAATCTTATCTACCACTGGAGCTACTTCGTCCTTTTCAAATATCTAAGAGCAAAGCCACTCATCCACCTGAGTTTCCTCATCTTTGCAACACTTTACTTAATTTTCCCATAAGTTTGAGGATACTTTTCTATCACAAAATAGGTCGATGCATTCCTCCACTTCAACAATCCAACATGAATTCTACTAATTATATCCCCATATATGTCACCATCGTTGTGAATAATAGATCTGAGATATAAAAAACGAGCCCCCTTTTAATGACTGATCACCGAATATATAATAAAAGAAAAATAAAAAAATAAAGTCAAGCTACAATAATACAATGGATGCCAGTGGAACACATCCTACATGAAACCTTTAAAGTACAGCATCTTAAAATTATGTATCATTCTTTAGTCCAGAATAATACAATAATAAAAATAATAATCATTCTTCATATACACTAAATGCTTAAGTTAAGAAAAAAAATATGCACACAATGTTCTAGAAAGTGATGTCAAAGAAACTACGACAGCAGATAACTAGGGAGGAGTAGACATATTTTAGAAAACTCGGTAAACAAGCAGCATATTCAAAAAGGCAGTTTTACTGATATAGAAAACATTTTACCTAATAATGTGAGGTAATGTTGATGCAGGAACATCATTGTAAGTATAAGAATCATAAGGTGACCTCTCTCTAGCTCCAACCTCTTGAGCGCATAAATTTACTTGCACTTTGTACGAACTCTATAGCACATACTGCTACAAGTTAATGCAACGCCAATAAAAATCGTTTACTAAAAAATAAGTTTTCAACTTACCAGAGAATCAATATTATGGTTTCTAAAATTCAAGCAATTGTGCTGATCCAAGAAACTAGACTGCAAATAATGCATGTACCAAAGAGACAAGGTTAGGAATATTAAACAAAAATAGCCTCATGAAAATATTCATATTATAGGAAACAAAAAGGAGAAAAAAAACCCAGAGATTGAAGTAATATCAAACCAGAATGACCATCCAACACCACATGCCATAACGCAAGCCATGACACAAAAACCAAGATATGCAAACATTATAAACAAGGCCACCAGATCTATCAACCATCATGAACTATTCACCTAGTTGATAATTTCCACCACTGAAAACTACATGATCAATATATAGAGGTAAAATATGTAGAATCCACGCTAAACCAAAGTTCATGCAAAGATGTTTACCATTTTGTCATACACCGAACTTGTTTATGGACTAATTCATGGACCAAAAACCTAACCATAGGGCTCCCTTTCATTGCTAAATCCCTCTTTCTTTGGACACCTCAAAGTGGCAGCAATGTAATATTCAAATTCTCACTCCAATAATCTTTAGATAATGTCTAGGATGTCTTTTTCCTTCTCAACAGGCATGTCATCTTCCTGCAGTACTAATCACTCAGTCGCTAGCTCCTAATACCATGATTTTTCTCTATTCCTAATAACTCTCTCCTAGTTATTTATAAAAGATTTCATCCTTCTTTTGAAGGTCGAAGGCCCATTTCTCTTTATATTTGACTGGGATTTAATAAAAGTTGACATCAGCGGTTAAGTTTAGGGTGGGTTGCATATCAAACATCCAACTCCGTTAGCACCTTCTTCACAGCATCCCACTGAACTAAATAGTGGTGATAACTAGACTACAAAGATTAAAAATCGCTTAGAATAAAACCCGTAGCTTGCCCTGATCCAAATCTGCTCCAAACTAACCAGTTAGATAATAAGCCAAGCCCGACAATCAATCTTGGACTATCAGCCCTGGATCAGCTTGAGCCTACTTAAGATCACTTTGGAATTCATATGTATGGACAAATAAATGCATTTGTAAAAACATATATGACTTTCTATGCATTTATGTATGTATGTATGTATGCAAAACTAAAAATTTCTTAGGTTGAATCAGCTTTGATTCAAATCAAAATTAGAGTTGACCTGGCTAAAGCCAAGATTTCATCAAGCCAATCGGAAGTCATGTCTATGATCTCAAATCAAGTGACTTAGGAGCAATCTTGAACAAACATGGGATCAACACAACTACAGATTTTTCAATTCCTAGAGCTACATGCATGGCGGGTTGAATAAACCCATTCTCCTGGAAGTTTCAATTCTCATTTTAAAAGTTATGAAATAAAAAAAAAAAAAAAAAAACAACAGATCTTAAGCAATAAATTACGACTGAATGAAGGAAAATAAATCAGAATAGATGAAAAAATTGATGCGGATGGATAGCAAATCAGACAAATAATCTAAAAAAGGGCGCTAAGATCTTTTTTTCTTTTTTCCAATAGGTCGTAATCACAATTTGTATGTTATAAACTCAAAGCTGGGCACCCTACAAATGCACCAGGAAGACAAGCTATAAAACATATGATGACCTTAAGCATGGATATCTGTGTGGAATACCACACAGTCGTGGAAAATATTAACTTGATCCAACCTAAAATGGCTCAACGAAATGAAAACTGTAATTAAAGCTAAGCCAGAATACACAGCCACGAATATAACACTGTATCTTATGTTTTGATACTTTCTCTCACGTGCAAGTACATTAGCCTTGATGTAGTGGACTAAGAACATGCATAAAATATATTTTACATAAATTAATTAACAAATTAATTTAGATTGTCAAGACTCAAGAATGAGAAACCTACAAGTTCAACCACAACCCGAGAAAGACATATTCAGTATCCGATATAAGTTGGAACATATGCACTTGGCCATGATTAAACCACTTTTTCATTCTTTCAAAAAATTTCAAGCAGGACATTTCGGGCATCAGACATCCAACTACTTTAATCCAAGAAGATGTCATAACAAACTCTGTTTACTTTCTCTCATTCTCGGTAACTGATTTTGCTTTTGTTTAATGCAATGCTATGCTATATCCAAGACATAGTGCACAAAAAATTTCATTTTTTATATTGAATGCATCTAATATTGGTTCAAATTTATCACATATCAATATAAACAAGTAATTCTTCCGCTTGGTATCTTCTGTTCAATATTTTCAAGGTTTATCATGTCATGTCCTTGTCTCATGTATGTAAAGACACTTCAATAACGACGCCACTGGCACCTAACCTAAAGTTCAAGTTAACCGAATGCAAACTAGGATTCATTTTAGCATGAATCAGATTAAAGGTAAAAATAATGTAAGTTCTCTAGTAAGAAAAATTTACACCAAAACAAGAAAAGATTGAAAGCTGAACTTTTTTTCCAATGTATTTGTACGCATTTAAACATCTTTAAGTCCACGCCTAATATGAACAAGATATAGATCAGGAGCATACAAAACAAAGAATTTGCCTACTATTTATTATAGAAATTCAGCAAATAAATTAGATAACTGTTTGCAAGAGCAATACCTTCAATGTACTAGGGTGCATGTCTATGGTTGAAATCATTTCAGATCTATGCCCCAAACTCAAGGTAACACACTTCTCTAAAGATGAATAGAGAGATTCAATTGGTACCTTCCCCCAAAAACAATTACCTTCAAGTTTAGCTGCAAGAATGATAAATATGAATGAAAGGAGAAAAGTTTAAGAATTTATGTTCAGTCAGCCACTTAAGATGTCAAAGCTGTTCAATGAAATTGTTCAGTTGCAGAGAGAGAACTTAAGAACAACGAACAGCCAATCAAGATATAGCACATTCAACAGCATGCTAAGAAAGTAGCATAAAAGTTTTGAAATTGTATGGAAACAAAGAATAGAAAATATCAAGAGAAAAAAAAGGGGGAAGTTTTGAATATTAAAAAGCAGTCAAACAATAGGAATAAATAAAATTTCCTCTAAAGCATTAAACGCATAACATGAAATATCCACAAGAGAGTACATGTGGAATACTGCAAGCATGAACAGAGACGTTGATAGATAACAGTAAGTTCAAGTTTCCCACAACAATAAACGCTTTACAGCTCTATAAATAATTTAAAATAAGAAAATAATCCAGTGAATATGAATCCTGAAGCGGTGTTGGGTATATGTGCCTAAAGCCCTCACATCTGGAAAAGTAATACCATAATTATTTGAATTAACATGAAAAGTAGGAATTCAATATTGATGGTAGGCTGTGTACAACTTAAAGTGAGCCTTCACCACCCAACATGCAGCACTTTTCACCAAAGACAAATTAGGAGGAACATCAGCCTTTCTCTAGCTACTTCTGAGCTGAGAAGGCTTCACCAAAGCAACTGTTATGACTCACCAAGACACACACAACTTGCTCTGATACCAAATTTGATGCAAGCAAAAATTTGTGAGAGGGCCCCAAATTTTTGCTAACAAAAGAGACTTCCTAAATAAAAGAAGATTACATGAACTCACTAAAACTAGACAAATTAGACAATTTATGACAAAAACAAACTTTAATATTATAAAAGACGATTACAAGACGCTTACAACTCTTGACACTTACAAACAAAGCAATAAAGACACCTAAAGAAGCTTTGCCAATTGTCGAGAACAATGATACAAGTGGGGTGGATACTTGCGGGAAGGAGGCAAGAAGTCCAAGACGAAGATAGGAGGACAAGCTCGCAAGCTTTCCTATGAGAAGGGAGGAATGGAACAAGCTCTCAAGCTTTTCCACAACGAAACCTGCAGGTTTAGATCCAAACATAAGTACACATAGCATCTCTTTTTAAGTCTCAAAACATCTCCTATTTATAGAAGAAAAGGGCAGCCAAACAACCACCTAAAATATTAATTAAAACCTATTAGATTTAGGAAAATGAAAGGCCAAAAGTCATAACACATCAGTCCCCAAACGGTACAGCAAAACAGAGAAGAAAAGCCACGGGAACCAAACAGAAAAGCCACGGGAACCAAGCAGATAGCCACAGGAACCAAGCAGCCAGCCGCAGGAACCAAGCAGCCAGCCCACGGGAACCAAGCAGCCATCCATCCACGGGAGCCAAGCAGCCAGCCACGGGAACCAAAGGGCCAAGATCCACCATAATGAGCTTCCACTAAACTTACATAAATGAGCTAAACTTTTTACTTCAATAAATGAACTAAAAAACAGCTCATAATGAGCTAAATTTCAGCTCAAAGTATTAATGAGCTAGCAAGCCCAAGAGCAGTCAAAACAAAAATTTAGGATTTGATTTGACACCCCCCCCCACCCCTGCCTACATCACTTATCTAATATGGTAGGCTTAGCAGGGGACCTCTTGTCAAAATGTGACTCTTAGTCAAAACTCTTGGGTGGTTTACTATGAGCTTTGATCTCGTAATCACCCATAGAGATTTTTGTTTGTTTGGGCTCCTTTAGAACCCAAACTTGCCGGCTTCTTATAGTGGACTACAATAATATTTGACAGCTTGTTTTTTATAATATCAAACGAGATTGATCTTTGATAAGCTTTCGAGTCGGCTCAGGTTGAGCTCGAACTCGAGCTTTTCAAACGAGCTCAAGCTTTCGAGTGGAGCTTGAGCTTGATATTTTCTAAACGAGTCGATCTCGAGCCCACTAATCGAGCTAGAACTCGAGCTCGAGCTCATTAAGGATTAAACGAGCCAGGCTTGATAAGGCAAATACTCGACTCTACTCGACTCGTTTACACCCCTAGATTTTCCCACATATTTCCTTTCAACACCCAAACATTGTCCAGGCTCCATGCTTCTCACTATAGATTAATGAGGAATTCTTATGTTGATTCCTCAATAAGGTTTCTTCAAACCTTCTTCCCCTTGGAAATTTCTTAAAGTTGAAATGGCACCTTCGTTTATCGCCTTCCTCCAGTTCTTTTGTAGTTTTCGATTCTTCACAGCCTTCAATAGCTTGTAAAGACAGGTGGATGTTGGTTCTTTCTTCTCCTGCACTGGTGGTTGACTAGAAGTCTCACAAAAAGACTTCTTCACCTCACCCTTGGCATTGTTGTGCTTCACCTATCTTAATGATTTGAAACCATTGATGATGCGTATATTTGCCTCTGATTGAGGCAGAGGCCCTTGGATTGGAGCGAAGTGATTCTCCCAGTCGTTGGCTCTGAAGCGAGCATTAGTTTTCCTCGTGGCTTTTCTTGACAGCTTGGTGTCAGAAGTGAAGGCTTCAGCATAGTTCCTTCCAGGAACAAAAGTAGTCTTCTTGGGAGCTATATTCCCTCCAAACTTTATTTGATTGGAACCACTACAACCGACTTCAACTTGGGCTCAAATGCCCTTTTTCCGGTGCTCAAATTTGAAGATGATACCCTTGAGAGTTGTGAAAATACATAGACTCTTTTGGGATACTCTGCATTAGTGGGAGCAGCGCGCTTCCATGACGCCTTGGGGCTACATTTCAGTAAGCAATTACCTCGTGCGGTATAACTCCCACCTTATTATCAGCTGAGAGGAACCTCATTATGTCAACAATGGTTCCAAACTGGAGGGTAGCGCCATGATAGCTTGAGGAAGTTGGACTCTTTATCTCTCCCCCAACTTTATAGTCATCATGTTTTTTACCAGCAACATTTTCAATAACCTATTACAAAGTTTGCAAGGATTAGAATCAACCTGACTTCTATAGCACAATAAAATATAAACTAGCACCAATAAACATCTATATATTTTTTATATTTCTAAGGCTATATATTTATCCGAAGACGGAGAGAGAAGTAATCCTCAGTGGAGTCGCCAGAAATTTATTCACCCTCAAAAAAATGGAAATGTTGCATAAGGCATGAACCCTGGTTTCACAAACTTAAGGTTCCTTTTTTGTCGAGGTAGATTGGATTTTAATTTAACCAGATTTATGTCGATGAACGGCATAATGGTTTATTTAATATTGAAGTTCCACTTCATATGAGCACAAAACCTCATAGTTAATTACTCCTTTAACACGTAGAAGAGCACTCTCAATTAAGAATTAATGTATATTTAGTTGAGCAAGAAGTGCATAAGTATACAAGTGTTTTAATCTTGATTGTGTGGGGATGAAGGTACACCTGATTAAGGTTCCATCGTCTCGGGTCTATCATAAGATTCAGTCAACCAACACTAACAACCATTGATTGGACTGTCCAGGGAATCTGATAACAGTCATGGATTACCTCCTCTCAATGATACCGAGTAAACTGAAGTGGATAGATGTTGGTTAATTTGGTTTGGGTTGGGACTTTCCGCTCAGCTTAGGAGTTGCCCGTAGTTTAAATTTAGGTTAGGTCTTACAACCCCGCTTAAGAGTTTTCTGTAGTTTAGACTTAGGTTAAGTCATACAGCCCCGTTTAGGAGTTGCATGTAGTTTGGATTTAAGCTAGGTCTTACGGTCCCATTTAGGAGTTGTTTGTAGTTTAAATTTGGGTCAAGACTTACGACATTCATTGGAAGTGACCTGTGGAGCGGGTCTTACGACTTCTATTAAAAGGCGCCCGTGCAGCAAGTTAAGGATTAGGTTATTTTTACCTAGAGGTTTTCCCTAATGTATTAGCTAAAGTCGGACTAACAACCTCTATTAGAAGTTGTCAGTTGAATTTTTTGGTTAACGGGGATCTAGTTTAGTGGAATTTTAGTAGCAGATATGTAATTCTGCATTTGAGTGGGTCTTAGTGCTTCTATTAGAAGTAGCCTGATTAACGGGTTTTACGGCCTCAATTAGTGGTGGCCCAAGAATTGGATTTATTGTTCCCCTTGGGATGGTTTATAACTCCCCTTGGGAGATCGTGTATATTAGTTTAGTTGGGATTTACCCTATTTTAGCTAGTAGTTGCCTCTTAGGCTTATTTTAGAATGACACACCCAACCACCCGACACTAATGCTTTCTACCCTAGCTTTCAGTAGTTTACTGTGATTTTGCTCATAGTAGTGCTCATAGCTTTCCAACTTCAATAGTGACTTTACTTGTTTGTTTTGGCACTAGTTTGCTTTAGTACCTACTTATTCTCTTAGTACTAGTTTTGTTATACCAGTACAGTTCTACTTTACTAGTACTAGTTATGTTCTTTTCCAGCACTAGTTTTTTTTTATTACCATGTGTAGACTTCTATCAACTTGTTTGCAGGAGTTCGTAGCTTGCAATTACAAGAGCTTGCAGCTACACGATTTACTAAGAGCTAGAGCATGGAGAGCATTGCTCAGGAGTTTGAGGGATTCAGTTTTAAAATTTTGGAGCTTTTCTTTCTATTTTTTATTTTGGTTAGTTTTAGGAGTTTGATTTTTAATGTGAATTGTACAATTTTTGATAGTGTGAACATTGTTCTTTATTTTATTCAATGAATTTTAATTAATTTTTTTTATTAATTGCATTAAATAATTAATTAGGTAAACTAATTAAATTTTAATTTTAATTTAATTAATTAATGGATTTAAATTTTGTTTTAAATTAACTATTCAGCTCTTTAATTGATTTTAAATGTATTTTAACATTATTTAGTTATTAATTAAATTATTTGCTCGATTAATTTAATCAATTTAAATTTTAAACTTAAAAACTATTTTAAATTAATTATTATTTAAATTAGTTGCTTTAATTAACATTTTGATATTATTAAACTTTAAATTAATCATTCGAATTGATGA